ACCCCCAACCAACCCCCACTGCTCCCCCGGCCCCCCTACCCCCAACCGACCCCCACTGCTCCCCCGGCCCCCCTACCCCACCGCCCCTGTCCAATTGCCCCAAACAACCCACACTGCGCCTCCATTGTCCCCCCACCTAAGTGGGAGGCTGTGGCCGGGATGTGTCATCCCAGGGGAGCGGGCTGAGAATTGGGGTCACCCTTCCCCCTGGAACCCCACTTCTGGGGCACTTCCGCCCCGCACCAACATGGCGGCGGCACGCCTCAGGCAGGACTTCCGCCCTGCACCAACACGGCGGCGCCGCGTCGTACTTCCGCCCCGCACCAACATGGCGGTGGCACGCGGCCCTTCTGCCCCGCGCCTATGGAGCGCCGGAGGGCTGCCGCCTTGCTTTGCCATGCCGACCAGGGGGCGTGGCCCGGGCGGGAGAGGCGCGCGCTCACCGTGCAGCAGGTTGAAGCGCAGGAAAAGCTCGTCGTAGCAGCGCTCGGGCAGCAGGTGCGGGACCAGCAGCCCCTGCAGCGCCGCCGCCATTTTGGAAAATGGCGACACTCCCACAGCGGCTTGGCCGGCGCTTCCGCCTTCATGGTGCCAGGGTTCCTACGGCGCAGGCGCGGAGGCGCCCGCGGATCCACTCACTGTGCACGCGCCAGCCCCCCGCGGTCGGTGCGCGCGCGCGAGCGCGCGGGAACCTCCCTGAATTACATTCCTTGTGCGCACGCGCCCGCACTCCCTCCGCAGTACGCAGGCGCCTGTTTCGCGCCCGCTCTCGGCGGCGCATGCGCAACGGAGGGGGGAGACAGGGGAAGCGCGGGCACAGCCTAGTATGCGCCATGAGGCTGAGGGGGCACGCATGCGCCCTGCCCTTCCACCGGCCCTATTTCCTCCTCGCGCATGCGCTCTGCCCTTCAACCGTCTCCATTTCCGCCCCGCGCATGCGCCGTCCCCCCCAACCAGCTCCCATTCCTCCCCGCGCATGCGCTCTTTCCTCCAACCCTCCCCTTCTTTCCCTTCCCGCGCATGCGCTCTAGCGCCCCTCCCCCCACTCCCTCACCGCCTTGACCAAACTTTGGCCAACCCAAGATGGCTGCCCCAGCTCCGCCATCTTGCCCGCTCCCCGCCCTCAGCCGGGGGGCCGTGGCCCTCTGCCTCCTCTACTACCTGCGGCTGCAGCGGGGCCGCCGCCTAAGGGAGGCCGCCCGGCGCCACCGGGCCGCCCGCCGCCGCCGGGCCCGGGCCCGCTGGGGCCGCCGCTTTGCCCTGCTCTGGCTGGCCGGGACCCCGGCGTCCGGGCCTGGCCCCCGCCCGGCCGGCCTCCCGCTCCTCCTGCCGCCGCCGCCGCCCGCCCCGGCCCGGGAGCGGCGGCTGTGGAGCAAGGCCCGGAGCTCGGCCTTCTGGGACACGGTGCGGGCCAAGGCCTTCGGGCCCGGCGAGTGGGCCGAGAACTTCCGCCTGGGCCCGGCCACCTTCGACTACCTCTGCGGGCGGCTGCGGGCGGCCATCCAGCGGCGGGACACCAACATGCGCCGGGCCATCCCCGCCGAGGTCCGCCTGGCCATGACCCTGTGGCGCCTGGGTGCATGCACCGAGTACCGGGCCGTGGAGCAGCAGTTCGGCGTCTCCCGCTCCACCGTCTGCAAGATCCTGCGCGACGTCTGCGAGGCCGTGGTGGCCATCCTCACCCCAGCTTACGTGGCCGCCCCCGCCGGGCCCCGGGCCGCTGGCTTCCCCGCCCCACCGCAGCTGGCCGGCGTGCTGGGGGCCCTGCACATCCCCATCCGGGCCCCCAACGAGAACGCCGCCGGGTACTTCAACCGCCGGGGCTGGCACTCGGTGGTGCTGCAGGGTGCCGTCGACGCCCGCGGCTGCTTCTGGGACGTCAACGTCGGCTGCCCGGGGAGGCAGACCGACGCCCAGGTGCTCCGGGCCTCCGAGCTCTACCAGCGCGCCCAGCGGGGGGAGCTCTTCCCCGGGGCGGCCCGGGACGTGGGAGGTGTACAGGTGCCCGTCTACCTTCTGGGCGGCCCGTCCTACCCGCTCCTGCCCTGGCTGATGAGGCCTTACCGGGCCGGGGAGCTCACGCCGGCCCAGAGGCGGTTTAACGAGTACGCTGCCGCCGCCCGCACTGTGGTGGGGGTGGCCTTCGGGCGCCTCAGGGGTCGCTGGCGCTGCCTGCAGAAACGCAACGACACGGACGTCTCTTTCCTGCCCACCCTGATCGCCGCCTGCTCCACCCTCCACAACGTCTGCGAGATGCACGGTGACGTCTTCCAGCCCCGCTGGATGGTGGAGGAAGAGGAGGAGGAGGAGGAGGAAGAGCCCTTCGAGGACGGGGAGGGAGAGGAGGGCGCCGCGGCCGAGATCCGTGAGACGCTGGCTCTGACCTTGCGGGACTGAGGGATAGAACCCAGGAGTCCTGGCTCCCAGCCCCCCCCCTGCTCTAACCCACCAGACCCCACTCCCCTCCTAGCGCCAGGGAGAGAACCCAGGCGTCCTGGCTTCCAGCCTTCCTGCTTAATCTGCTGAAGGTTCCCGGCCACAACCTGAAATCGCCTTTCCTGGGGGTGGGGGTAGGGAGGCAGGTGAAGTGAGGGTGCCAGGCAGGTGTGTGGGTAGGGGCTGGGTGTCAGAACTGGGGGGGGGGGGGGCCGGGGGCCTTGAAAAGGGGGCGGGGGAGGGGGCGGTTGAAGTGTGTGGGGGGGGGAGACTATCGGGGGGTATTGGGAGGAACCGGATCCCTGGATTCTCTGTAGCCACAATAAACGAAAACTTCAACCGAAAGGAGTCGTGCTGTAACTGTCCGCCAACACCTGACCCTTTTCTCTGCCCTACTCCCGCCTCATAGCTGCCCGGTCAGCCCTAGCCCGGCTCGTTCAGCAGCTCTGTCTGTCTGTCAGGCCTTTCGGATGGACAGATGGACAGCAAGGAGGACATGCAGGGACAGGCTGTATCTGTCTGTCCAGCCAGTCTACCCATCCAGAGGTGGCTGCATCTCAGTGCTGGGCAAGGGGTCCCTGTGTAACCAGCCGCCCCGCCCCAGAGGTGGCCGCATCTCAGCGCTGGGCGAAGGGTCCCTGTGTAACCAGCCGCCCCCCCCAGAGGTGGCCGCATCTCACTGCCGGGCGAGGGGTCCCTGTGTAACCAGCCGCCCCGCCCCAGAGGTGGCCGCATCTCAGCGCTGGGCCGATGGAATAAAGGACTCGTGGAGGGGGGCGGGGCTTGCTGCAGGACTCTTGAAAAGGGGGCGTGGTTTAAAGGGCTGGGGGGGATGGGATCCATGGGTGGGGGTGGAGCTAAAGAGCAAACTCATGCAGGGGGCGTGGCTTAGTCATGGAAGTTAGAAGAGGGTGTGGTTTGTGAGACAAGGGGCGTGGCTTGATCGTGGATCATATAAAGGGGCGTGGCCTGAGGGTGCTGCCCCTGTCCCTGCCTCCCAATGACAGAAGCAGCCTCGTGACACCCCCACTTCCCCTTAGGAGCTGGGTGGGGCTGTTCCCGCACGCGGCTGAGTTAACGGGACCCTGCTGGGGCCGCCTGGGGGACTGGGCACCCCATTGGGAGCTGGGATACAGCCAGGCTGCTGGGGTGCCCCCACACCCCGGCACCCTCCCTGCAGCCCAGCATCCCTGGGGCCTGCCCTGCCTGTGGGGGAGAGCGCCCCCTGCTGAGCCCCACTCCCAGGAGCACCCCAGCCCTTGTCCTAGACTTATGTTTTCAACAGCCACCGCCCCGCCCCAGAGGTGGCTGCATCTCAGCGCCGGGCGAGGGGTC